TGCTGCACTGGTCTGAAGCTATATCAATTGCCGGTAGTGTTACACGATTTCTGCGCCGCTACAGGACATAAGATATTTATTGACGTTGCCCATCCTACTCGCCCTCGCTTATCCAGCACTCTCACGAGGTCCCAGCAACGCTAAATACCGATTATTGTTTCGGGTGTTATACAGAGGGAGCGGGAGGTGGAATGGAGGCAAGAGGGAAAGGGGGAAGAGAGAGAGGTGACGGTGAGAGAGAGAGAGAGAGAGAGAGAGAGAGAGAGGGAGAGCGTATGAGAGCGAGAGTGGGTCTTTGGGAGATGGGTGGAAAGAGAGAGGTGGACGCGCTGACACGGGTCTGTGTGAACGACAGCGCCGGCATTAGCTAGCTCCCCCATCGCCAACCACGCCTGCTCGCCAACAGCCATACACAGTTCCTTGTAAACGTTCTAGCGAACAACGAAAAAACGCGCGCCGTTCAATCAATTTGTTCTGCGTAACTGCTTACGATGGCAGCGGCTCAGCGCGGCGGCACGACGCAGTAAAAATCGTCCACCTGCAATATTCATGACCGTATATCTCACGACATGCGTGCGTGCGTGCATGCGCGCGTGCGTGCGTGCGTTCGCACCTTTAAATAATGGTAAACATCATTAGCTGGCGCGGCGCCTGCTTCATAAATACCGCGCGCGAGAGAGAGAGAGAGAGAGAGAGCGGCTCTTGTCTTCACGCGTTAAGGCTCCGCGACTGGATCTTTTATGTAGACCGACACGCGTTAGGCACTGCGCTGAATAATGCACGCAGAAGCACGCCGACCCCGCGCGCACGAAACCCTCCCGTGACGTCATCGGCAATCTGCTGATTGACAGACGAATGCAAAGTGGCCAAGAGGTAGCAATTATTCATTAACACGAACTTTTCATCAATAAGAGAGTGAGATTTAGTGGCGCGGGTCTGCCCGTGTCTTCTCCTGGGAGCCGCACCGGTACACAAGTCCGTTCCAATTGACCTGTGTGGCCAGATTAGAGCTCCCTAACCACCCGCGATCAGTGTTGCAGAGAGAGGGGGAGGGGAGGAGTGAGGGGGTAGGAAGGGAAGGGAGAGGGAGGGAAGAGAGAGAGAGAGAAGAGAAAGTGAGAAAGAGAGATACACGCATACATAATATACTTATACATATATTTACACATGTATACAAAACCAACCACACAGGCAAGTAAGCGCGCACACGCACGCACGCCCGCACACACACACACGCACGCACACGCACGCGCACGCCCGCACACACACACACACACACGCACGCACACACACGCGCACGCACGCCCACACGGCACGCGCACAACGCACCGAGAAGGCGGTCGTGTATGAATAATAAAGACGATTTAATGAAATGGACAGCCGCAAACGAGACACACCATTACAATTCTGTTTGATGCGGCAAGCATCAGCTCGTGCTCTCCCTCAGCCGCTTCCTCATCCCTGCATCTCCTGGACACACTGGACCTCACCGTGACCTCACCGTGACCTCACGCTACCATTAGTTGTCTATAGAGTGCTTAGTGGGCACGCGGATCTCGGCTAGTCGCTTCTGTTATGAAAGACTAATGGGTGCTAAGTAGGAGAGCACGTGTTTACGCAGTAAAAACCAAATCAATGACGATTCAATGGACGACGACCCTCAGTCCTCTCTATCTTCCCACCTCTCTGCTCTCTCCTCTCTGCTCTGCCTCTCTCTCTCCTTCTCTTCTCCTCGTCTTCTCTCTCTCTCTTCTCTCTCTCTCGACTCTCATCCTCCCCCTCTTCTCTTTCTTCTCTCTCTCTCATATCTCTCTCTCTTATCTCTCTTCTCTCTGTCCTCCACATCTCCTCTTCTCTCTCTCTCTTTCTCTCTACTCTCTTCTCTCTTACTCTCTCTCTCTCTCTCTCTCTATCTCTTCTTTCTGGGCGGGCTCCTCTCTCTCTCTCTTCTCTCTCTCTACCCTCTCTCTCTCTCTCTCTCTTCTCTCTCTCTCTCTCTCTCTCTCTCTTTCTCTCTTTTTCTCTCGTTTCTCTCTCTCTCTTCGCTGCTCTCTCTACTCATCTATCTATCTATCTCTCTCCTTTCTGGGCGCCTTTCCCTCGATTTCTACGTCTTATCACTTCCTACTATCCTACTATCTGCCTCTCCCTCACTCAGACGGCCTATACGTAGTTTCAGTTTGACAGTTTTGCTAGCCGTCGACTGCTGGTGTGAAACTGTTAGATCGACTCCCGCCCCCCTAGTCCCGTCACGCGAGGCCGTGTAAAGGAGCGAAAGTACACCCCTGCTGTCTAATGATACTCGATTAAGCGCCTACACACATTGAAATGAACGATTACACGCGTGCGTGCATACATGCGTGAGTGCGAGCGTGCGTGCGTGCGAGCGTGTGTGGGTACATGTGTGTGAGCGTACTTGCGTGCGCGCGAGCGTGCGAGCGTGCGAGCGTGCGTGCGTGCATGTGTGCGAGCGTACTTGCGTGTGTGTTGGTGCGCGCGTGCGAGCGTGCGTGCGAGCGTGACTGCTTGCGTGAGTGCGTGCGTGCGTGCGTGCGAGCGTGGCTGCGTGCGAGGATGCGTGCGTCTGTGTGTGCGAGCGTGTGTGGGTGCCTGTGTGTGAGCGTACTTGCGTGTGTGCGTGCGAGCGTGGGAGCGTGCGAGCGTGTGTTGGTGCATGCGTGCGAGCGTACTTGCGTGTGTGCGTGCGCGCGTGCGAGTGTGCGTGCGAGCGTGACTGCGTGCGTGAGTGCGTGCGTGCGTGCGTGCGAGCGTGACTGCATGCGTGAGTGCGTGCGTGCGTGCGTGCGTGCGTGCGTGCGTGCGTAGCGTGACTGCGTGCGTGAGNAGAGCCAGCCGGCTGCTGTTTAGGGGATTTCATTCAAATAAACGCGATCGCTTCATTAATAATTCATGCGTGCAAGCGGAGGCTGAGAGAAAGAGAGAGAGATGCAGATGCAGATGAGAAAAAGAGAACGCGAGAGGGGGAGTGAGGAAAATGCTTATGAGCAGAGGGTGAGTTAAAGAGAAAGGTGTGTGCGTGTGTGTGTGTGTGTGTGTGTGCGTGTGTGCGTGCACGCGTGTGTGTGCATGTATGTGCGTGTACCTCTGGGTGTGTGTGCGTGTGTACGTACGTGCGTGCGTTGGTGGGATGTGTCTGCATGGGTGTGTGAGCGGAGGAAGAATGACTTCTGCTACTCACCCGGATGTGGGTATAGGTGGCAGGGGACTGCTGCCTTGCTGCAGACTGACGACTTTTCTAGCGTTGACATCCCGCTGACTGTCACCTAAACAAAAGCAGACGCAACATTTAGGTTTAAGATAAGGGGGTTGAATATATCCGGTTTTTTATTACTCGGTTTCTGTTTTTTTTTTTCGCCCTCTCCCTCTCTCTCTCTCTCTCTCTCTNCTTTCTCTACCCTCCCTATCCTCCTTCCATCTCCTCTTCCTCTACCCACCCTATAATTCTTCCATCTCCTCTTTCTCTACCCTTCCTCTACCCTTCCTCTACCCTTCCTATCCTCCTTCCATCTCCTTTTTATCTACCCTCCCTATCCTCCTTCCTTCTCCTCTTCCGCTACCCTCCCTATCCTCCTTCCATCTCCTCTTCCTCTACCCTCCCTATCCTTCTTCCATCTCCTCTTTCTCTACCCTCGCTATCCGCCTTCCATCTCCTCTTCCTCTACCCACCCTATAATTCTTCCATCTCCTCTTCCTCTACCCTTCCTATCCTCCTTCCATCTCCTTTTTATCTACCCTCCCAATCCTCCTTCAATCTCCTCTTCCTTTACCTTCTCTATCCTTCTTCCTTCTCCTCTTCCTCTACCCTCCCTATCCTCCTTCCTTCTCCTCTTTCTCTACCCTCCCTATCCTCCTTCCTTCTCTTCTTCCGCTACCCTCCCTATCCTCCTTCCATCTCCTCTTCCGCTACCCTCCCTATCCTCCTTCCATCTCCTCTTCCTCTACTCTCCCTTTCCTCCTTCTATCTCCTCTTCCTCTACCCTCCCTATCCTCCTTCCATCTCCTCTTCCTCTACCCTCCCTTATATATATATAAGTCACACAGACACTCTTATCCCCTCCCTCATTTCCTCGACTTCTCGTTCCTTTCCTGTTCATTGCTGCTCCGCATTTTCTTCCTTGTCATCCTTCTCCACTATACCATTCTTCATTCCCTCTACTCCAATTCTTCTTCGTACCCTCCCTCGCATACTCCTCCTTACTGTCGCTCTCTTTCTTTATTATCTTACTCGCCTCTTCTCCTCTTCTCATATATTCTCCTGCTTACCCCATCTCCTCTTCCGCTACCCTCCCTAACCTCCTTCCATCTCCTCTTCTTCTACCCTCCCTATAATTCTTCCATCTCCTCTTCCGCTACCCTCTCTATTCTCCTTCCATCTCCTCTTCCTCTACGCACCCTATAATTCTTCCATCTCCTCTTTCTCTACCCTCACTATCCGCCTTCCATCTCCTCTTCCTCTACCCACCCTATCCTCCTTCCATCTCCTCTTTCTCTACCCTCCCTATCCGCCTTCCATCTCCTCTTCCTCTACCCACCCTATCCTTCTTCCATCTCCTC